CTTTTTCATTGGTTGAAACCCCTTACAGTGTACGTCAGTCAAGCTCTCGTGAATAGAGAAACCCCTTCCCCTTTTTCTTTGCTTACCCAATCTGTTGAAAGTCCTCCTTGAAAATTTTTTTCTAATAAATTCTCTTCCTATTTCTTTTTCCCCCCTGACTTTTGTTCGTTGTTTCAATGACTACGTCCGAAAGGAGCGGTCAACAATAGATTTTCGAATTGAGGTGTAGCAAAATAACTAAAACATTGTTTTTCTCACTATCAATTTTCTCGAATAGCATCGGCGGTACTGTCGGTGCTGTTTTGACATGCCCTTTGGAGGTTGTCAAAGTTCGTCTCCAATCGTCACAAGGCGTCGCCCTTCGTTCCGCTCCTCAGATCGTTTTGGAAAAAAGCAAATCTACAACAAATATTGCACGCTCAATGTGGTCTACTACATCCTCGAACCCTGTTACCACACAGTCCGCATCATTAGAACATGCACACGTTTGTTTCCAGTGTGATATCAACAAGTATCCCTTCTCCGAATCCCCTACATGGTTGCGCTCTCGTCATTCGCTCACACCAATCAATTCTCACTCCGCATCTGTGGCCTCCTCAACTGAGTTCCCTATCAAACCGAATACAACTCGGTTACCAAACACCGGCGTCCGGCGTTCCGTTTTGATCCGCTGTCTGGTCGATATTTTTCGTGATGAGGGGTATAGTGCACTATTCAAAGGTCTTTTACCCACTCTGATTGGCGTTCTCCCATCTCGGTAAGTATATACTGTAGCTTTTGGGAAAGGCACCTCAGTTCACTAAAATGCATACAAAACTTCCTCTGTTCGGTTTTATATGATACAGTGAACTTCCTCCGTTGAAGTTATTTACAACCGTAAATACTCATTCTATCGAGACCCGAATACAGTTTTTACATTTAACTACACGATTTTGGTCGCCGGTCTCCATCCGACTTCCGAGGCTTTAACCGGGTTGGTGGACCACTGGTGGTTCACCTTAGAGAGTTGGCTAAAAACCTTGATTCTAAACCAACCAAGAGGAGGCGTACGAATCACACTTTCTCGGTTGTTTCAGTGGTCACCGGCTCGACTGGACATCGATGTGTATTGGGCATCTTGGACGTTCGACTCCGTCCCAAAGGCGTATGATTCGATAAACTTGGCACCGATCCCCAATGAATAACGGTT